ATGTAGCCCTGGCTTCCCATGATTGAGCTGCCAGGTATAACAGAAGGGAGGATGATATATCAGATCCCCTTGAAGGTACATCCAGAATATACACCCAGGGAGGGAATGGTAGACAGGACTAGAGAGGCCCTGCCTCTAGCCAGGTAGAAGCCAGGGAAAATTGTGTCTTTTGGGCTGTGTGGATCCCTGGCGTATCAGTGTGGGAATCTAGGGCGTCCCTGGCTGCCCTGGAAGGTCTGGGACCCTGGCAAGGGGGTCAGGAACTCCCCTGTACAGAGCCCCGAGAGACACTTGGGTGTCTCTGATCTCTGTCCATACAAAAGAGTTTTCAATCTTACAGGATGAATTACAAGCTTTGAGTATTTGATAGAAATGATAATTAGCGTGGCACGGGTGCAAAAGTAGAATTTTAGGATTCTAGATAAGGGGTTCAAAGAAGGCAAGATGGAGGAAATTGGGTGTGCCTTGTCCTTTATCTTCTTCTTCATGCCCTCCATATTTCACTGTAGTGTTGGCATTTTTCTATTGGTTTAGTTTGGGTACACGCTGTTCAACATAGGTGATAGATATTGGCACGTTATTGCAAATAGAGCACAGGTAGTTTCTGGTATATAATGTTTGTAACATCCCACTGAGGGGCAGAGCCCCGCACGCTGTCCTGCAAGACAGACCTGCTGCAGGGCAGACAGAACATGTTATAGACAAGCAAGAATAAACAACCTTGAAACCAGCACAGACGAATTATGGCTTCTTCTTTGGCAGGGGGGCTGAAAGACAGAGACTTTTTATAATCTCAGGATCATTTAAATATCACAGATCCCAACACATCAGAGCCATAGAAATGCGAGGCTTTTGTTGACACTGGTGAGCAGTGTCTAATGCCATCAGGACATGTGGGGGAAGAACCCGTTTCTATTGCTGGGGTGACAGGGGGATGGCAGCAGTTGACCCTGCTGGAAGCTGAGGTGAGTCAGACTGGGAAAGAGTGGAAGAAACATGCTATTGTGACTGATCTAGAGGCCCTGTGTATTCTGGGCTAAGATTTCCTCTGGAGTGATTATTTAAAAGATGCAAAAGGACTCAGGTGGGCTTTTGGAATAGCTGCTGTGGAGGCAGAGGGCATTAGGCAATTGAAAGTCCTTGCCTGGACTGTCTGAAATTACCACCTCAGTGGTGCATCGCCAGCAATACCGGATGAATTGAGATGCCATGATCCACGTCCACAAAATGATCTCAGAGCTGGAGAGCCAAGGGGTGGTCAGCAAAGCCCACTCACCCTTCAACAGTCCCATTTGGCCTGCGCGTAAATCTGAAGGAGAATGGAGGTTGACGGTGGACTATCGTGCCTTGAACGAAGTGACTCCACCTCTGAGTGCTGCTGTGCCAGACATGTTAGAGCTCTGGTACGAGCTGGAGTCCAAGGTTCAACAAAGTGGTACGCCACTCTTGACATTGCCAATGCATTTTTCTCCATTCCTCTGGCAGCAGAATGCAGGCCTCAGTTTGCCTTCACCTGGAGGGCCGTGCAGTACACCTGGAACAAACTGCCCCAGGGGTGGAAACACAGCCCCACCATCTGCCATGGACTGATCCAGGCTGCACAGGAAAAGGGCGAAGCACAGGAGCATCTGCAGTACACCGATGACATTGTTGTGTGGGGGAACTTGGCAATGGAAATATTTGAGAAAGGGGAAAAAATCATCCAGATTCTACTGGAAGCCGAAAAAAAAAAGAGCAAAGTCAAAGGACCTGCCTGAGAGATCCAGTTCCTGGGAATAAAGTGGCAAACAGACACCAACAGATACCACTAAGGTAATCAACAAGATCACAGCAAGGTCTCCACTGACCAACAAGAAGAAAAGACAAGCTTTCCTAGGCACCATAGGTTTTTGGAGAATGCACGTTCCTAAGTACAGCCAAAATGCAAGCCCTCTCTACCTGGTAACCCACAAGAAGAACGATTTCCACAGGGGCCCTCAACAGCAACAAGCCTTCACCCAGATCAAGCAGGAGATTGCTCATGCAGTAGCCCTTGGCCCAGTCAGGATGGGACAAGAGATGAAGAATGTGCTTTACTCTGGAGCCGGGAACAATGGCTTGTCCTGGAGCCTTTGGCAGAAGGTGCCTGGAGAGACTCGAGGCCAATCACTTGGATTCTGGAGCTGAAGTTAGAGGGTCCAAAGCCAACTATGCTCCCACCGAGAAGGAGATCCTGGCAGCCTCTGAAGGAGTTCAGGCTGCCTCAGAGGTGACCGGCATAGAGGTACAACTTCTCCTGGCACCCTGACTGCTGGTGCTGGGTGAATGTTTAAAGGAAAGGTTCCCTCTAGCCATCATGCCACTGATGCCACAGGGAGTAAATGGAAATGGGTTGCCCTCACTACACAGCACGCCAGTATTGGAAACAGAAATTGTTCTGGGATCCTGGAGATAATTATGAATTGGCCTGAAGGTGAGAACTTTGGTCTACTGGAAAAAGAAGAGCAGGAACAGGTGTCGTGTGCCGAGGAAGCTCCACCTTACAACCAAGTGTCACAAGAAGAAACACGCTACGCTCTTTTCCCTGACGCTTCCTGGTGCATTGGAAGGACGAACTGAAAGTGGAAAGTAGCTGTATGCATTCCCACGCGAGCGGCTGCAGAAGCTACTGAAGGAGGAGGTGGATTGAGCCAACTTGCTGAACTCAGAGCTGTTCTGTTGGCCCTGGACCCTGCTGAGGGAGAGAAGTGGCCATAACTCTCTTTCTACACTGACTCCTGGATGGTAGACAATGCTCTGTGGAGGCCTTTTCTGGCTGGAAAGGTGGAAAAAGGCCAATTGCCAGCATAGGGGAAAACCAATCTGAGCTGCTGACGAAGGGCAAGACATTGCTGCTCGAGTAGAGAAGCTACCTGGGAAAGTCTGCCATGTTGGTGCCCACATGCCCATGAGTTGGGTTAATGAGGAACACTGAAATAATGAACAGGTGGATCAGGCTGCAAAAATGAAGGTGTTACGGATAGGTTTGGATTGCAAACACAAGGGACAGCTTGAACACTGCTCAGAACACCATCCTGGGCCTTGAAAAGCAGGTGCTTTGGAGGCAGGAGGTACCTGTGAGAGAATTGAGTCCAACAAAGGGACTCATCTCAAAGGCAGCCATATAAACACTTGGGCTAGAGCACATGGCGTTGAGTGGGTATATCACATTCCCGACCATGCAGCAGCTGCCAGAAAAGGTGAGCGGTGCAATGAACTTTTCAAAAACACATTGAAGGCAATGGGGGGATGGGATCGTCAAGCAGTGGGAGCTGCATTTAGCAAAGGCTGCATGGTTAGTTAATAGCAGATTGGCCATGCCCAATCCAAAGCATTGTGTACAGCAGATGGAGACAAGGTTCTGGTGGTGCATATGAAAGGTATGCTAGGAAAGAATGTTTGGATTAACTCTGCCTCGAGCAAAGACAAACCCATCCGTGGGGTTGTCTTTGCTCAGGGACCAGGTTGCACTTGGTGGGGGATGTAGAAAAATGGATAAACAAAATGGATATCTCCAGGGGACCTTGTTTTGGGGCGAATTGCCCAGAACACTGTGCCTGTATAGATATCTGCATGTATGTATGCATATAATTAGGATAATACATGTATGTATATAGGTTAAAAGTCAAAGTTTGATGAAAGATGTTGGTATGGGAAAAAATTCACGGTGGAAAATGGTGTGTGTTTGGAGGGGTTTTTTGGTGAATTGTCTCCCATTTGTTACCTGAAAAGGGGGATGTGGCAAGGAGAGGGCAGTTGATGCCCGTGGGGAAAGAATTGCCCGTGGGGCAATTGAGATGCAAAGAACTGGCCAATGACTCTCCCATTCCACTGGAAGCTTCCAGGGAGGGAGGGCAGGGTTGGGCACTGGCTTGCCAGAGAGAAGTGCTGCCATCCAGAGGGACAGTTCAACAAGGGTGACAGTTCAATGGCAAGTGCTGAGCCGTGTCCTTGGGAAGGAACAGGCACAGGCACTGGTATCTGCTGGGGGCCACCCAGTTGAAAAACTGAAGTTTGGCAGGGTCCTGCTGGACACCAGGATGCCCACGGGCCAGCAATATGCTCCTGCAGCAATGCAGAACAGCGTCCTGGGCTGCACTGGCAGCTGTGACACAGCTGGTGGAAGGAGGGGATCCTTTCCCTCTGCTCCACACCAGTGAGGCCAGCCCTGGAGTGCTGGGCCCAGAGCTGGGCTGCCCAGTACAGGAGACAGGGACAGACTGGACAGAGTCCAGCTCAGGGCCATGAAGATGATGGAGGGACTGGAGCATCTCTGCCGTGAGGAGAGGCTGAGAGAGCTGGCACTGCCCAGCCTGGAGCAGAGCAGGCTCAGGGCATCTCATCCCTGGGGATAAACACCCGGGGGGAGGCTGCAGAGGGGACAGAGCCAGGGACAGCCCCAGGGGCCTTGGGCACCAGGTGACACACAGGAGGGGCCCTCCGAGCTCAGGAGACACTTCTGCACTGGGAGGGTGGCTGAGCACTGGTGCAGGTGCCCAGGGAGCTGGTGGAGTCTCCATCCCTGGAGAGACTCAAAAGCCACCTGGACGCGTCCTGGGCAGCCGGCTCTGGGTGGCCCTGATGGAGCAGGGGCTGGGCAAGGTGACCTGCAGAGGTGCCTCCAGCCTCCCCCAGCCCCAGATTCTGGGACTCTGGGAATAAACAGTTTCCTAAGGACAAATGAAAAAGCTCCATGCATGGCAGGTTTCTCCTGCTCTCACCAAAGTGGTTCATGTCACATGTCTCCTTTCTGCAGATTCCTCCCTGGAGTGAGGATGCCTCTCAAGGTCATGCCTTGAGGCTGAGAGAAATGTTTGCCCCTGGTCATTGGTTTGGGTGAGTAGCATCAATCTTTAAGAATTGGTTTTGCTGGCTTGACTAGAATTGCTGCAATGTTGCTTCAAAATATAATGCACTATACTGGAAGTTATAGTTCCCTGTACTGAGTAGTAAATAACCCAGAGAAAGATCTATTAGTTTAATCATAATCATAATAAACTCTTTATTTTTCTATAAATATATCTTACATCCTATGGAACAGAGTTGTGTAAAGGTTCAATTGCACCTATGCTATCCTATAAAGATAAACTACTGACTAAATCTAAGCCTGCATCCAGCTGCAGCCTGCCTCCTCTGAGACATTCAGGAAGCAAGGAGGTCCTTTCTGCACCTCGTGTCTCCTGCCTGCTGCCTGCACAGCTCTCCAGGTGGTCCTGTCGGTCTTGGGCCAGCTGTGCCTGCAGAGGGACACCTGAAAGAGGCACAAGGCCCGGCTCAGACAAGCCCAGGCTGGCAGGAGCACCTGCAGCCCCACGGTACCCGCTCCCGGGGCAGACACAGCCTCCAGCTCCAGCCCTCACCAACACTGTGCCCTGGGGCAAGGGGAAAGGAACAGGCTCCCAGACAGAACAGAGCTCAGATGATCAACAAGTCCAGTTCAAGGCCGGTAAAGCCTTCCCACGTACATCCCTCAGCCACCACAGGTCAGTTAGAGAGAGTTCTGAGGGGATTTAGGAACCCAACTCTGATTTCCAAAGCACACATTTGGGCCACTGACCCCTTTCTCCACAGGCTGTGCATCAGCAGGAGGGCTGCTGCTCCCCATAGCTGCTGGAGGACTCTTCCATTTCAAAAGTTGACCGATTTTGATGGGCAGACTCGTGGACAGGAAACGTAATGTAGTCTGGGAGGAACACTCTCCTAAAAGTTCTGATTCTTCTCCTTTCAGGTTCCACCTGCACATTGGATGGGAGAGAGGGTCACAGAAACCTGTCAGCAAACATGCACAGGCTGCCCCTCTCTCTCTGCCCCTCGGCATGCTGCAGACCTTTGCTGCTTCCCCCCTTGATGCTGCTCTTGCCCAGCTCGCTCAGCCTGTCCCAGCTTCCTTTCCGCCCTTCCCCGACCTCTTGCAGCTCCACTCCAGCGCTCCTTTGGGCAGGAGCTGCCAGAACTGCAGCCACGATTTCAAGTCCATGCTAAGCAGGATTTAGGCAGTGCCACGAGGACATGCTCTCCATCAGGGAGGAAGGCAAGAGCAAACACCCCCAGCATTTCCTTCCCTGGGGCTGGGCTGCCAGGAGTGCTGTTCCACCTCTCCTGTGTAGAGTTTCCATGGCCCCATCCCCGAGAGCCCCACTGCCCTCTCTTGGAGCAGCAATGGCCAGATCAGTCTGTCATTCTCTGCTGCCACTCAGGACGAGTTCTCCCCTTGCAGGCACACGTCCTGGTGTGGATCAGCACTCGGCTTTCCTCTCTTCTCTCCCCACTGGCTGCTCTCAGATGGCCAAGGCCAAACACCTTTCTATTAACAGCAGTCTTGGTCTTCTCACCTTCCCTTTCAGATATTTAGAAATGTGAACATGGGTTTGGACACAAGGAATTCCCCAAACCATGCAATGGCCATAGAGAGAGTGTGGAGATTGAGAACTAAAGCTTCTAGGGAACAGAAGCCCAGCATGGAGGAAAATCAGCAGCTTCAGCATTAACTGCCTTTGGCATGACTACAACATCTCCTCCTTATTCAGAAGAATGCAGTTAGAAAAGTTTAACTGAAAAAGTCTGCTCCTTAGAACTATCACCACAAGGTCCAAACATAGCTAGGAATTGGCCCTCTGTGGCATCTGCCAATCTTACCAGCACATCCTTCCTTTCCTTCTCCAGGTTCTCCAATTTCCTCTTCAGAGATGCCACCTCCTGACGAAGAGTCACAGCCTCTTCCTGTCTTTCAGTGGCCTCTTTCTCCAGGGCATTTTCTCGAGAAATGTGCTTGAGTTGTGTCTTCCACCAATCTGCAGCAGGGAAGGGAAGGAGAAGGAGAAGGGGACAAGCAAAGCAAAGACACACTGATGTGCATCCTGCAGAGACAACAGCACTGTCTTCTCTGCCTGCCAGTGTTTGCCAGGCCCTGAGCACACAAGGGCTCCAAAGCTGACAGAAATGAAGGAAATTTCCAGGCAGAGTAAAAAGCAGGAATGAAAGGGGCAAAGTTCAGAGGGCTAGGAAAGAGTGTTTGCTCTTGGTCTTGTGCAGAGGGAGCAATCCAAGAGGGACAAAGGAGAGGGGATGTCTGTGCAGCCCTGCTCAGAGAGGCCAATGGCCTGGAGGCTCTGGCAGGGCCTGGAATTTGGGGGAATCAAGCTGAGGCATCCAGCTGCAGCTCCTTAACAGGGACACAGCACCTGAAAGGCTCCAGCCCAGGATCAGCCCTAGCACAGCCAGATGGCTCTGCAAGCCACAGCATCTTTCTCAAGAAAAAAGCTTTCACTGGCACTTAGAGGGATAAATTTCCTGCTGGCTGTTTTTCCCCTTTGCCATCTCTGGGCACTTTTCCTCTGCAAGGCATCAGCAAGATCCTTGCAGGTGGGACAGGGTGGGGCAGTGGCTGGGGGAGGAGAAGCTGTACCTTGCTCAATGTGCTCCAGCTGTTTCAGCAGCTCCTGATTGTAGGCTCTGAGATTGTCCCTCTGAGCCTGTGTCTTCCTCAGCCCCAGCTCCATGGCCTTACACTGTGTGGCCATGGCCTCTGCTCTTTCCTCAGAGCTCTGGAGCCTCACACGCAGCTCAGACACCTCAGTTTCCAGCAGCTGCTTCTCTTCAGTTGCCTGGCGAGCTGTCTTCTCTATCTCTGCCAGCAGCATGGCCTGCATCTGGAAGAAGGATGCACAGGGCCTCAGGGACAGGGCTGCTCCTGAGGCCGCAGAGTGCACAGTAGGGAGAGGAACAAAGGAGAAATTATTTCTGGCAAAAACTATGCCAAAACCAGAAGGCACAGAAGCAAGGATTCCAATGGAGACAAATGTAGAGAAAAGAGGGAAAGGGAGGCAATGGGCATCCTTGAGGCTGCAGCTCTGAACAGCAGCTGAGATGGCTGCGCTGGAAGTGCCCTGCCCAGCCTGCCACAGCCACCTCTGTGTCCCCACATTGCTCAGTGCTGGCACAGGCACCAACTCTGTCTGGGACAACACTGCTAACAGAGGGACGGAGAAGCTCCAGAGGAGGCTGCTGCTGCTTCCTCTCCCAGATTTCCTGCTGGGAGCCGGGAGAGAACGGTGCAAAACTTCGGCAGCAGACACCAGATCCAGCCTGGGCCTCAGGGTGCCGCAGCAGCCCCGGGCAGAACACGGCAGCTGTGGATGCTGCCGGGAGGGGAAAGAGGTTGGGGCCTCCAAGCCAAAGGTGCTGCTGTGTGTCCCTGGAGAAGAGGATGCCACTGCACAGCTTACCTGGGTGTTGAGCTCCTGCATTTGCCTCCTATGCTCAGAACAGAGCTGCTCTGCCTGCTTAAGAGCAGAAAATAAGCGAGACACACGATTTTTCAGCACCAGGTTCTGTTCTTCCAGTTTTCGGAAGCACTGGTTCTTCTCCTCCAGAGACACAAGCAGCCTAGAAGGGAAGCAAGCAACTCATTACTATATGATATCACATTCTATAAGCTCTTAGGACTTGCAGCACCTCAGGGAAAAACTCCTCTGTCTGATGAGGTTTGTCTAAACAACTTGGCTGTTTGTTCCCCCTGCAGTCACAGCCCAACATGTGCCGACTCTGCTTTTGCTCCTGAAAGAACAGGGAGTCCTGCCTACATGCCCTACCTTCTTTTTGAGATGGGAATGTGAATACAAAGCTAATGAAGTCTTGCAATGAAGACTTTAGAGGAGAGGAACAATTTTCTTCTGACTAACCAGGCTCCAAGGCAGGGAGGTTTGGTCAACATGGAAGAGACATTTCCTTCCCCAATCTTCTACGTCCCGGTAGGAGGAGCAGCAGCCTACAGCCAGGGGATCTGTGGCGAGTTCCCTAAGGTTTACCAGCACCCATCCTACTTTCAGCTGGAGAAACAGAGGCCCAAGTGGCAGCCAAGGCTTGGAGCAAAACCTGATGGCAGATGCAGAAGGCTCCAGGCAAGCAGGAGTGCCCTGCCTCTCCTTTGTCTTTGGTTTGGAAGAAGAATCCTGTGGCACTGAAGACTGGCAGGACTCGATCAGCTGGAGGAGCCCCCCATCCCCTGGTCCTGTTTCTGCATTCTTTGCACAGTCAGTAATGCCTGTGACTGTGCAGGGTGGCAGGGAGCCTGCTTGGCCCCCTCCAGGCCCCAGGACACATTTTATGAGGAACGATGCCACAGAGCCATTCTTGTTTCTGGGCTGCCTCTGAGGGCAATCTGGCCTAGATCAGCAAGCAGGGCCTTAAGATGGTTCTGCCCAGAAAGAGCATCAGAAGCCAGGCTGATCCACATCCCAAAGGCTTCAAGGTACAAGACCCAAGGTGGGGCTGATGGATGGATCCAGCTCCTTACAATGCAGCTCGGGCAGCTTCAACACACCCACCTAACAACACAATACCCCCTAGAGGCAAAGGACTACCCCAAAAGACTTTGTTTGCAGAAAAACTCTAGCTGAAGGCTTAAAAGGAAAGAAAATGAAAGACAACATCCTCTCATGGTTTGACACGGGAAGAGAATTTTTTTTTTGGAAGGAAGAGGTCACAGTCAGGGGTCAGGTTTGGATACTGACACTTGGGGTGACCAATTGAAGGTGGACACGCCTCTGAGAACACAGAGGGGTTAAAGGCGGAATTCCCAGGAGGACTCACTCTCCTTTGGTTCCGGTCATCGCAAGGTACGGACCTCTCCCCAGCCCAGGCTGGCTGGGGGAGGGGAGCCATGCGGCCTGCAGAGGTAGGCCAGGGGGTGAAGGATCGGAACCGAGCTGGGCCAGCTCCTGCGGACGGAAGGGTGGAGAACATCTGGGATGTCTTTGTTCCCCCTCCCCTAAGCTAGAGGGAAAAGAGATAGAGAGCCAGCAGACACCTGGGAGTTTGCTGACAGAGGAGAAGGAGAAGGGGGGGAAGATGCCCAGCGTGGGAGACAGGAGAAGGAGTCCTGGGCTGAGATTTCAGCTGTCCAGGGAGTCCGGGAATTTTAACCCTTTTCTGGGAAATGAAGGCTTTATGAAATATTACTCCTCCTCAATTTGAAGAAAAGAGAGACAGCCTGGGACCTCAGATGTTCAGAGAAGAAGGTTGGGGGGAGATGATGGAGTGCCTTTTGGCTGGACTCTGCTTGTTTACCATAGACTGAACCACTCCTTCTTTCAAGAGGGACTGCATTTTAGGGGGATGCACTGGTGAGCCAAGAGACCTTCTTCAGCAACTACCAGTTCTGGAATGGACAGAGAGAGCTGAGGAGGGTGTGAGGATGCCCTCCGTCTTCAGAGAAGAAGAGAAGGCGATCTCTGTCCTTGGACCCTCGGCCCCAGGGGAAAATGGGGGGGACTCTAGTCCCGAAATGCGATACTGGACTGTTGTTCCTGGTGGTCCTTGGCAAAGCATCCTTAAAGGGGCCCTATAAGCAGTCTCTGTCCATGCACGGTGGTGAGAGCACTGTGACATGGAGAGGAGAGTGTCGCACTGGCCGGTGGGTCTGGGCAGTGCCACGTGTGACATGGAAACACAAGAGGTGGCAGCTGTGTTTCCTGGGGGTCTGTGGTGCAAGGGGGACTCCTCTCTTCCCCGATGGATTCAGTATTGATTATATTGAAGGGTGAAAACTGGATTAAGGATCTAAATGGGTCTTGCTGTGGTTTGTTGGAGTTGGGTGGTGGGAGGAGGAGTGTTTTGGAAGGTTTTCATTTTGAAGTTTGTGTGGTTTTTTTCTTTTTCTTCCCCTTTATATTATTAGCAGTAGTGTAATAAAGTCTTTCCTTTGTTATTAAGTTTGGCCTGCTTTGCTCTGCTCTCGATCGCATTTCACAGCATTTGATTGGTAGGTTGCATTTTCATGGGGCGCCAAACCATGACACATCCAGACCATGAGAAGTGTCTGCACCCAGAGTTCAGAATCTGCCACTTAAGAAATGCTGCCAGAGGCCCTGGCAGGTGCAAGGATGGCAAAGAGGGAATCCATTCACCACAATGCAGAGTCCCACAGGCTTTCATTTACCTGGCTTTTTCCTTCTCTAGAGTATGCACAGAAGCCTGCAATTCTGAATTGTGCTGAGCCACTTCTTCCCATCCACTCCATTTCCTCTCCAAGTTCTGCAGATGCACTTGCAGCTCCTTGTTCTGTTGTTTTGCCTCCTCCAGCATCTTCTGGGTGTGCTCAACCTCCAACTGCTTCTGCCTGGACTCTTCCCGGGCCTCCCTCACATCTTGCTGGGCTCTCTGGACAGTCATTTCCTGGGACTCTCGGGAGGCTGCCAGCTGAGATGTCAACTCTCCCACCTCCAGTCAAACAGAACAAAGCAGTCAGAGGCTACAGCCACAGCTTGTCACTGTCAGCCACAGCACAGGCTGTGAGCAAAGGCAAAGGACAACTTTCCATTTCTCCCTGTCCTGAGAGCACCAGATTCACACTGGATATGGACAACTTGTTGCAGTCTCCAAGTGGCCCACCACCAAGGGCACCTGAAAAAGCACCTCCCACACCAAGGCTAGCAAGGAGAGGCCAGCAGGAATCCTTGCTGATGCTTGCTGGCCAACAGCCCAGAGGACTAGCCCAGCTGTCCAGAGCAGCAGCTGAGATTCAGCAGAGCTTTGGGCGTCCTGAAGAGCAGCTGCCACGGAGCCCCCAGAGCCTGAGACAGCCCCAGGGATCACCCCATCAGCTGCTGCTCTGCCATGGAAAAGCAAGAAGGCCACAGACCCCTCCCTGCACGGCTGCAGTGCCACTGCTGTTTCACTCACCTGCTTTTCTAAAGCCTCCCTCTGCTCAAGGGGGAGATTCATTTCCTCTTTGAGGCCTTGTAGCTCTTCCTCGTGCCTCCTCTGCGCTGTCTGGACTTCACTGCGAGCTGCCTGCAGCTCAGCTTGCAGCTCTGCCTTCAGATGTTCCCTGGTCACCTCCAGCTGAGATATCTGCTGCTGAGCAGCACACAGCCTGGATTCCAGGCTCTCCTTTGCTGACCTACAAGTTGCACACACAGAGAGACATGAGTTGCTTGCCCCAGACTCCCACAGCCGGTTATTCCAGGACAATGTGGCTCAAGATCCTCACACCTGAGTATGGGAAATGAGTGACGTGGAAACTCGCCCAGACAAGGCACATTTGTGCCATGTCAACAGCAGAGCCGGGCCCTCAGAGTGACTGCCCAGGCCTTCCCTATGGCCTGGCATAGCACAGACAGCCCAGCCCAACTTGGCCTCAACAGCCAAACCTTCAGTTGCTGATCCTGACCTAGGACACGGGGTAGCTGTGTCCAAACAGGCTGGAGCGACGAGCAAAAGCCCAGCCCCTGCTCACAGCCCTTCTCTCATCAGCACTTCCAAGCTGCTCTGCAGGGGGACACAACAGACTCTTGTCCTGGCTGACTGCTGACTTTTTAATGCTTTTGATAATGGACACAAAGGTGCATCATCTTCCAGACACCCTGTATTTAGGAGACTTCAGAACGACTTTGCATGGCACAGTAAATTCTCATGGTCATAGCAGCACTTGTAAAAAATCAGAACACCCTTTTGTCTGAACAACAAGCACCTGAATGCAGGGACTGCAGTTTAAACTCTTGCAAGGTCATGGAGCAGACTTGCCACCTTTATTTTAGTGTTGCTGGCCAAGCAGGCAGTAGCCCAAGGGACTTGTCCTTTTTTACAGAGTGAGAGGGACCATCCAAAGGGTCCTTGGCAGGTTTGGCAGCTGGGTGCCCATCAACAATCAGCCAGGCTGTTGAGAATTCCAAAGAGCTTTCCCTGCTGCGCTCTAACCAGCTCTAGGGCCTGTCCCACATTTCTCAAGCGTGTGCTTGGAAGCTGAAAGCCCCCACGGTTTTCAGCAGGAGCCTCTGGCTTCCCCCTGAATGGCAGCCTGCTACTCCCAACGTGCCAAGGAAAGAGCCTGGAATGCTGAAGGCGAAGCTTCAGTCCTGACCATCAGGATCATATCAAGCTACTTGGTAAGGAACGAGGGGTGTTCAATGCCCAGAACAAGGAACCAAACCCCAGAGAAACTTGTGGTTTCACTCAGCATCTGCATGGTTTAAGTACTACTCAGTTCAGGGCTGGGTGGATTGCTCTGGGCTTCCCACAGCAGTGTGCTCAGCGGCACAAACAGGAGCCCAAGGCTCGAGAGAGCTTTGCTGGCTTTAGGTGTCAGAATAACCTTCACATTGTGGCATATTCTTGTTCTTGAGACGCTTCCATATTGTGTCCATGGACTGTAAAAGCATCTGAAAAGGCTCTGCTGCCTGCCCTTACCTGGTCTCTGCCAGCTGCCTGGAAAGGTCTTGTCGGAGCCACTCCGTGGCTGCCAGTCGGCCCTCAAGGTCAGCCTTCTGGGCCAGCAGCTCCTCCTCTCGGCACACCTGGGCCAGTGCGTGCCCTTGGCCAAAGGATTCCTCAGAGGAGTCCTGGCTCAGCTGCTCCAGAGACCAGCTCGACGAATCTTGCTCCTGGGAGAGCTGCAAGTGGGACAAGGTACAGCTCGAGCCCTTCCTCAGGAGCCCTGTGCAGAGCCAGCCAGTGGCACCTCGCAGGCAGCCAGAGGACACGGAGCACCTGTGCTCTGGGCTCAAAGTTTCACAGCACCTGTCCTGGGCAGCTCTGATAGCCTGGGCTGCCAAAAGCCTCTGGCACTGTTACCTTGGAAGTGCTGTGTCAGGCCCTGCTGCCCTGCCTGGGACCAGACAGCTCCTTCCCAACACACATCCCTCCTCCAACCTCCGTGTTGTCACCCAAAACCACTGCATCTTCCACAAGTGCCAATACCAATTACTCTGAGCACCAGGAGTGTAGCTGCTTTTCAGCCCTTGCTCCAAACCTCTGCTCAGTTTTGCCCATTCCTCTGCTCACCTGCTCCATTTCTTCCCACACCAAATCCAAACCCCCATGTGTTGCATGGGCACAGGAGAAGCAGCTCCCCATGCCCAGCTTATGGCCTGGAGCTGATTTGAACAGCAAGCTCCAGAGCTGGATCAGTCATTCTGGGCGAGCCAGGAAACAATCTGGCAGTCAGTGGTCTCTGGCTGGAGCCAGGCAGACAGACAAGGCTGCCTGCTGCAGCCCGGGCTGCTTTACCCACGCAGCCCTGGACTGACAGGGATAGAGACCCACCTCTTCATGGGAAGAAGCACTGGAATAGCTCAGGGACTCTGGAGTGGACTGAAGGTCAATGCCAGTGCCTCCCTGGATACCAGACTCTCCCTTCAGGATGTCCAAGCGCTTCTTCAGAGACCCTTTGGCAATTTCACTCTTGTTCAGGGCAGCAGTCAGTACTTGAGTGTACTCCCTCCCTTTCTTCAAAGCAGCAGCCCCGTGCTCCAACTCTTCCTGCATGTCTTCCCTCTCCACTTCCAATTCTTGAGTATTTTCTTTATGATTTCTCATCTCAGGTGCACACATTTCATTCTTCCCTTTCACATCTCTCATTTGCTGCTGGTTCAATTCCCGTTCATGCTGCCAAAACAGGGAGAAAAAGGGTCACTCACTCCCTCTCTCGGTTTGCTTTTCAGACCAGATCTGGACCCCTGCTGCAGGGGCAGGCACAGGCTGCCCCTCTCTCTCTGCCCCTCGGCATGCTGCAGACCTTTGCTGCTTCCCCCCTTGATGCTGCTCTTGCCCAGCTCGCTCAGCCTGTCCCAGCTTCCTTTCCGCCCTTCCCCGACCTCTTGCAGCTCCACTCCAGCGCTCCTTTGGGCAGGAGCTGCCAGAACTGCAGCCACGATTTCAAGTCCATGCTAAGCAGGATTTAGGCAGTGCCACGAGGACATGCTCTCCATCAGGGAGGAAGGCAAGAGCAAACACCCCCAGCATTTCCTTCCCTGGGGCTGGGCTGCCAGGAGTGCTGTTCCACCTCTCCTGTGTAGAGTTTCCATGGCCCCATCCCCGAGAGCGCCACTGCCCTCTCTTGGAGCAGCAATGGCCAGATCAGTCTGTCATTCTCTGCTGCCACTCAGGACGAGTTCTCCCCTTGCAGGCACACGTCCTGGTGTGGATCAGCACTCGGCTTTCCTCTCTTCTCTCCCCACTGGCTGCTCTCAGATGGCCAAGGCCAAACACCTTTCTATTAACAGCAGTCTTGGTCTTCTCACCTTCCCTTTCAGATATTTAGAAATGTGAACATGGGTTTGGACACAAGGAATTCCCCAAACCATGCAATGGCCATAGAGAGAGTGTGGAGATTGAGAACTAAAGCTTCTAGGGAACAGAAGCCCAGCATGGAGGAAAATCAGCAGCTTCAGCATTAAC